TGTAACATCTTGATCAACTCCATCAACTAATCAAGATGTTACAACACAGTCAACCAATCTGCTTGCAGCAACAGAGCCAGCACTCCACACCCACCCACCTATATTTATAGAAAAACGGCAGCTCCGATCACGCTTTGCTCGCACAAGCACGAAGCCAAAGGCACCAGCCTGAAGATGACGAGTGGGACCTCGTCGAAACGTCGCCAAGATACTGTCAATCTTACACGGGAAAAGACCCGAATATGCCAAGACCTACATATATATGTGTGTGTGTGTGTGTGTGTGTGTGTGCATGTTCCAGCATAACTCTGGAATGCCTTGAGCAAGTTCAACCAAACTTGGTACACAGATGACTTACTCTCTGGAAACAAAAACTGTGGGGGTGTAAGACACCCCTAACACCCCTCAGAGGGTGTGTTATGTTACGATACAGCCTGTTGTGTCTTAAAATGGCTTCTACTGTAAAGTGGCTTCTACTGTGCAGTGCAGTGAAGTTGCCATGGTAACATCTTCACAGTAAGAGGGAAAATCCAACATTAGAAATTACGTTTGGTCTGGACATTTTCCCCCTGTAAACCACTTAGAGAGGGCTGTAAAGCACTGTGCAGCGGTATATAAGTCTAAATGCTATTGCTAAGTGCTATCCATCCATCCATCCATCCATCCATTCATGGTATGGCAGTGGTTTCGAATGCAGTACTGGAGGCTACTTTTGCTGACTTCTGACTGACTGCAATTTGGCAGTTCGAATCTCCCCAGGCTCAAGGTTGACTCAGCCTTCCATCCTTCCGAGGTGAGTAAAGTGAGGACCCAGATTGTTGAGGGGCAAGAGGCTGACTCTGTAAACCACTTAGAGAGGGCTGTAAAGCACTGTAAAGTGGCATATAAGTCTAAGGGCTATTGCTATAACTTCCTCCTTCCCCTCCCTTCCCTCTTCTTTTCCTCCCTCTCTCCCTCCTTCTTTGACAGCAGTTAAAATGCAGCCTAACTCTGCCCACAACCAGGAGTTCAATTCTGAGCATCTCAAGGTTGACTCAGCCTTCCATCCTTCCAAGGTGGGTAAAATGAGGACCCAGATTGTTGGGGGAAAATATGCTGACTCTGTAAACCATTTGGAGAGGGCTGTAAAGCCCTATGAAGTGGTATATAAGTCTAATGGATATTGCTATTGCCTGAAGATATTTCTCTTTCTTTTTGTCTTGATTGGCTCAAGTAGAGGGAGTCGTCTGATCAGGTTGGCTTAGTCTTCTGGTTGGGTTGAAACATGACTTTGTCTTTATTTGGGCAATATCGATCCATCCCATGCCGCTAAATCACAGCAGAGAGCAGTACACCCTAACCCTAACCTTAAGGAAAAGGGCCCAAAGAGGAG